TCAGAGAAAGGTTTAAACAAATTTAAAGCCGTCCGTGGTGCGGCAGCCAGCTGTACCTTTGATGCGATGTTACCGCGCGCCGCAGTGGGAAAATGGTGATAGCGGTTTTGACGGCTTAAATTTTGTGTTCGAAAATGGTGAAATTTATTCACATCTCTTTAAAAGTAACACAAAAATTGAACAAATAAACGAAATAAATGTTTTTATAAAGTAAGTGATCATTTCAACTGTTCAGTTCTAACAATGATTAATAGTCCAGTCACTGAAGGCGAAAATAAGGTAAAAGCTCCCAATTTTTTCGGATAGCATGGATTTTCCTGAAAATACAAGCTCATCTAACCCACCCACATCAAAAGTTATATAGTCTAGATGTGTGCTTTTTCTATTTGGGGGTGAAAACTACCCTTGCACTAAAAAATTCGAAAATCGCAGATTTACGGATTTTAAAGATTCAATTCATGTTCAAATATGTTGGATAAAGTTCCTTTCATGTTTTTTAATATAATTTATGAAATTTAATTACTTTTCAACCCTTAAAAACTACCATTCCATGGCCAAAAAAATAGAAAAAAAAAGTTTTTAACAGTTTAAAATATTCTTTTGGTGCATTCACAATGTATTGCACTTCTTTTGTTATTCATTAGCAAGCTTAAGACTCATTACAAAGTTGCAACCCTTAAAAACCATCCCTTATAATAAAATAAACAAAAAAATATTATTGAAAGCTTGAGATGTTTTAATGGTATGCATATGTTGAATTATAAACTTTTTATTTGTTTTCAAATTATCTATGATATATTGCAACTTTTCAGCCACAACTCTACCCCTTATAGAAAAATTTCCTAAAAATTATATGCGAGTATGATGATATAATTAATTTTTTTTTAATTTTATACATGTGAACTCGGATACGTGTGTGTATGTATATTATTAAAATACGTACTCAAATCACAAGTGCTCCAAAATACACGAAGATGATGGTAATTTACCCGCTGCCATTTAATTTTTTTACCATATCTTTTGTAATTTTAAAGTTATAAATTTACTCAAAAAACCATTTTGTAGGTAATTTAAAGCACTTTAAGTTCTGTGATTTGCAATTTTTTTGAGCCCTTCGTTTTTTAGATTTGTAAGCTAAAAGGGCTCAGGAAAGGCAGTCTTGGAGCTTAGTTTTGACCTTCTAACGGTCATAACTCGATCAAATTTTGTCCTACAAAAATTTAAAAAAGCAAATTGTTCAGTAAGAAAAAACCTTCAATTTCTTATTCTATCATTTTTTATAACTTTGTTAGTTTTCGAAATATTTTGAAAAAAGGCGATTTTTTAAAAAATTGAAAAATTTTATTCAAATGTAAATGAAATATTTTTTTTAATTTAGGCTTCTAAAATCGTTGAAATTCCCAGAATCTACTGTTAATACATAAATAAAGTAAATTGCAGAAGGAATACGTTTAATTTTTTTTTCAAGTCATTAATTTTAATACCGATTTTTTTTCTCAAAAATCAGGACAAACATTTTATTTTGATTGTAACTTCATTAGTTTCCATGCTAACGACTTTTACCACCACTCAATTTAAAGGTCTTTTCAAGAACTTTAATAAGTGTTATATAAGTGTTCCTCGAAATATCTTTAATTTTTCCGATACAGGACGTTGAACGTTTCGATTATAGCTATCTTCGAAATTGACTTCAATTTCTGTGAGTTATAACTCGGGTTCTATACGACCTTCAAAAATAAAAAAAACAACCTTTTATTAATTACCTTCATTTTTGCTTATGATAATTTTTTTGATAAAACTTGTAGTTTTTGAGATATTCGCTAAAAATGGCTCAAAAACATGCATTTTTTGGGCTAAACACGAACATGTTTGGGCGCAAATAACTCAAAAAGTATTGAAAAATTCTTATAGAACATTTTTTTGCTTAGAATTCGTCCCTTTATCAAATTGTGAGGTTATTTTTAATAAAAAAAAGTCCCACCCTCCAGAAGGGGTGGCATCCACCCCTATTGTAAAAGCACACATCGGCACTATATAACTTTTGTTTCTTGGGCTATAACCTAGCTACAGTTCAAATTTCACGTCAATCCATTCTATCCGAAAAAATTGGTAGCCAAAATGATTCAGTGACTGGACTATGAACGTAACAGTGATTTCAAATATACTTCTATTGTATGTAATGTGGTCGTTAAAAATAAAAATAATAATAAGTAATATTGCAACACACAACTAAATAACAGAGACATACTAACTACCTGATCTACGAACAGATTTGCTTGAGTGTGGAGGTCACTGGAACGTCAACCATTAGAAAGCGCTTCACGCATGTAGCGAGTTCGAAACATTCTGGCCGTGCACGTGCACAAGATGCACAGGGTCGACTTACTAATTTTCATAATTTTCTGGAAAACAGTAGTATTTAGATCATCAATTGATTAATAAAAGTTGCTCATTTTCATGCCCTCTATAACCCTTTTCGCGCACTTCAAATATTTGTTGACGTTTCCAAAATGTATCTGTTCTTGTCTTCTGAACTTTTCTTTTTAATTATTTTTGTCAGTTTAAATTTGTTTATTTTTGGCTATTTCCCATGGTTACAGATATCATATGATGTTTATTCTATTATGACTTACTTCATCTTTTAGAAATTGTAGGCAGCGAGGATTCAATCTATTCATAATATAATAATCGCGGTCTCTTCAAATTTTCTTTCTCTTTCTTTTTTTATTTTTCTTCTGCAAAATTTTAGCCGAACCCCATTGAATTATACAGGAATTATACATTAGAGTGCTAATTATGATTGTATCAACTTCGTCAGTAGAAATCATCATTGGAACTAGTTGACGATTACCGTTGATCTATTCACAAAATTTTTGTGAGAATTGCAAAAATAAAATCTCTAAAAAAAATGTACACAACCTGACAACAATAACTTTCGATACTCTAATACATAATTTGCGTGCATCATCAACTTTAAATGAGTTTTTAACGGAAACGGCTGCTCCTAGAGGTGCCTTCAGTAAGGTGTACCTTTCTTAAGCAGAAAAGATAGGGGAAAATGTTTTTCTACTCCAAAATGACATACACCGTGCCACAAAAAAGTTGAAGCGACTTAAAAGGTTGCTTGTGGCGCATCTGGGAGATATAGCCAATCGTTCATAAAATTTGAATTTCCCGTCCCAAGAAACCACCGCATACAAAATTTCATGAATTAACTCAAAGCAGTCGAGAGTTATTAAAGAAAATGTAATTAATTTTTTTAAATTTGACATCCTGTATATCCTAAACGAAGCGTTTCCAGACCTAAGTTCATAGGAAACTCTTTACTTAAAATTGAACGTAGAATAACATACTGAATTATGTACATCTCCTCCTGAAACACCCTATATAACCGTCTATTCTAATTTCTACTTTTTCAAGTGCTCAATGTGTAGTGATGAGATTTTTATATTTTTTATTTATCTGTGTTTTTCAGTGTGAGATTTTTGGTTAGAGCAAAACTATTTTCATGAAAACAACCCTTACTGGTCACTAATTTCATTAATTTTTTAAATTTTTTCACAAGTGCCGAAATACCCAAAAGGATAGGGAAAAAAATAAAATAAAATAAAATTTCAAAGCAGCATTTGTGCTCCTCCATTTAAATACATCATGTATACAGGATTTAACACACCCGCTGCCAATATCTCCGAAATGAAGAAATTTATTTTAATTCTGGAAAATGGGATTGTTAGGTCCCTCGAATAGCTTCAAATTGTAGTTAGAATTGTTAGTTCCAATCTTTCTATATAGATGGCGTGGCGATACCAAAAAAATTTTTTGTTCTCTAGAAGGTGGAAATATAGTTAATCTGAAAGATCGTTAAATTTTGAGTAATTTTTGTAATATAAAGTTTTTCCTTTTATTTACTTGTTTTCGGGATATGTCGACTTCAATATGCAATGTATGATATACGAGTAGCAGGAATATCTATTATTTTATCAAAATCACACCGAGACAAAATATTCTTTTAAAATATTGTTGTAATGACTTTATTCACACCACATACTAACTAACAAACAATAAATTATACAAAAACAAATGATCAACTAAAAAAAAAATTGTACAATGGTAAATCGTATAACTAGTATAGTTAAATTGAAAGACGCAAGGTGATAAAACTGTAATTATTGGAAAACTAATATGTGTAATCTGTCTTTGTTTTATTTTAAACAAATGACATGAGCCACCTATGACTGCATATTTTAATAACATTTGATAAAATATGGTTTGTCTCTGCGTCTTATAAGATTTACCATTGTACAATTTTTTTTCTGTAGTTCCTCATTCGTTTATTTTATAATTTATTGTTTGTTAGTTAGTACGTGATATGAATAAAGCCATTATAACAATATTTTAAAAGAATATTTCGTCTCAGTGTGATTTAAATAAAATAATAGATTTTACTGTTATATCATAGATTGCATATCGAAGTCGACACATCTCGAAATCAAGTAAATATAGGGAAAAACTTTATATTACAAAAATTACTCAAAATTTAACGATATTTCAGATGGATTATTTCCACCTTCCAAGGAACAAAAAAAATTTTAGCATCGCCACGCCATCTATACAGAAAGATTTGAACTAACAATTCTAACTACAATTTGAAGCTATTCGAGGGACCTAACAACCCCAATTTCCGGAACTCAAATAAATTTCTTCATTTCGGAGATATTGGCAGCGGGATTGTTAAGTGGCACACCCTGTATTTCTTTGGTCTTGCAAGAATTGCGAAATTTAGTTTACAATTTTTTTCCAGACGGAAGGTGTTAAAATACTCTTGTAAAACATTCCAATATAATTTCGGACCACCTCGTACATTTCCACGGAAAATTCCGTGCGCTCGAACTAAATCGTTAATAGACCCATAAAGTTCCATTGTTTTGCCAAGCGATTTATGAATAATAAATCCCGAGGCACGAGCGGCAAAACCTAATCCTCCGTATGATCTCTTGCAGACGCCAAGATGGTCCCCCAGCAGCGCGTCGCCACCAAAGACGACTACATCTACATCCCCCTCAAAGGCCCGCCGACTGCCAACACAACCACCCCCCGTAACAACAACGCCGCCGCTGAGCCGGCCAAGCCGCAGTCATTGAGCTCGAAGCCGCCGCTGCCGAAGCAGCCGCCCCGCGTAGTTCACGCAAGCGTCAAGAAGGACCACACGACGCAGGCCCCCGGCGCCGCGACGCCGGCGGCCGAGACGCGGCACCGTCGCCGTCGCACGATCGATTCGGCCGAGACCCAGCTGCCCATGGAGCCCATGGGCCTGATCGAGACCGACTTGGACACGGAAGTGACCGTCATCACCAGCGGGGCCAATGCCAAGACGAGGAGTTTGCTGAATTTGGGGCCCGAGCCCCGCCTGGCGCTCGCCCCCAGCGAGGCGGGTAAGGCGCACGGAGCGCGCCCCCACAAGTCCATGGAGTTCCTGCTGGACAAGCAGAACTTGAAGGTGGTCGAGGTGAGTCGAGATATTGTCTTGTTTAGGCTTTGTTTACTACGCCCACGGCAGGGGAGAGCAGTGCGCTCTACTGGGCGCCGATTGATCTATATTAGTAGGGTAGGCGGAGGGATGATGCATCGCGTCGGGGTGTGCAGTTGCACCACGGTGACGGTGACGAGGTGTGGGGTTTGTTTGACGGGCGCCACGGGGATGTTCTTCTATCACATGCTAATCGCCGAAGACGACGACGTAAGTCTGTCTTAGAGCGCCGCAATTCGGTGTATACCATAGTTTGATATTATCTGAAGGTGCATGTTAAATTACTAAATTCATAAACCATAGCAGCTAAACGCAATTAATTTATTATTTATTTTGTCATGTAAATTTGACATAATCGTCTCGAAAATCTCGAGAACTAGTCATTTAATCTTATTATTTATTAAAATATTGTAGGTAATAGTTTGTTACTGTAGTAAAGTGTCATCAAATATATGTGAAAGAAGTTGTGACTCGACATTTGCCACACGTTCCACGTCACGTATTTTCAAGTGTTTTCAAATTTAGATTAAAAAGGGGTGGGTTTAGATATGACCTTTTCACAGGTCAGTATGCCCTATAATAAAGCTGACTTTCAACCAAAAAATAGTGTAAAGTTTGTCTTTTTGGTTATTTTCATAAAAAAATGTAAGGTCAAAAGATGTAGGGAGTTTTAGTTTAATCCCTCTCCGGTATTTTTACGCCACTGAAAATTCTCATTTCAACATGTCATTTATCATTTATAGTTAAAGCTGTAAACATTTTTCAATTTTAATCCCTCTATTCTGTTTTTATGCAACTGAATATTTCTTAAAATCAGCCTTTCTGCGACATGTAACACTTATCTTTTACAATTTTCGAGATATAAAGTATTATATGCACTAGTAAACATGAAGGTATTTAACAGGATTCTATCACTTTCTGAATTTAACTTTTGGCATATTTCTGTAAACAAGAAAATATGTTACAGTGTAGGTATAATGTTCTTCTAGATCAAGATTAGCTTCGTCTAGAAAAATGTAAGGAAGAATGTGGAATTATTTTTATAAGTTCATTTTTATATTCTGTATTAAATAAACTACCAACCTATTTATAATTATTTTGACATATTTTTGACATATCTTTTCTTATTTGTCTTTTACGTTTTCGAGATATTTATTTCATGGTTGCATTTTGAAAACCGTAAAAGATATATAGTCCTAGTAGGTTACTGAAGGCAAAATATTAAAAATTGCAAAAATATCACGTCAAAAACAAAACATAGATTAACTTTTTAGCGACATATATTTTATTGTTTCAAAGAAAGAGAAAATTATCGAATCATTTTTATAAGTTTATTTTTATATTTTTTCAGTTGACCCATATTTATCTTTAACATTTTTGAAATATTTATTTCACGCTATATCTTGAAAACTGTAAAAGATATATCTTGTATATGTAAACTACAAATTACACACGTATCAGAATATTCAAAAACGCAAATATATCAAACAAACTATAATTTATTACCTTCATCTTTTATCATATAAGTTTTACATCTTCAAAATTTCGTTTGTCATTATTTATATCTGTTTAATTTTTACCCTGTCTTTATTTATTGAAATATGTGGATTATAGTTTTATTTTAATAAAAAGTGTTGCAAATTTGTGTGATGTTCCGGTGACTCTACATTTTCCACACAACCCACGTCATGTATTTTCGACTAATTTATAAATAAAAACAGAATGGGTTTAGATTTGACGTATTTCCGCATGTACTGTCGTCGTACCTCATCATCCCGTGTTGCACTTA